ATGATGATGATGATGATGATGATGATGATGATGATGATGATGATGATGATTCAACTTGTTCAAGATTTGCTTCGGGCGCTTCACTCCGCCGATGGAGCTGCACCGTTCAAGCCTATGTGATTTTTCTCGATTAGAAGTCCGTGGCCCCCTGCCTCGCTCGTTTTTTTGGAATCCTCTAAAAACTGGTCTGTCGTACAGTCTCTTACTGTTGCTTCACCTTTAGGCAGGATAGCGTGTCGCTTGGATGAAGGCCAGGACGCTTAAGACAATACTGTTTCGCTGAAAATGTTTGCATTCTCATTATGAAAGCGTCCAGTAAGGATCACGTGAGAAGAAAAAAAAGTGCAATTCCCCTTACGTACCATGCCACCCTTGGCGCCTATATGAACCATCAGCTGGAGTGAGTTGGTCGGGAAGGGCACATAAAGACCGGAAGGAATCGCTGCACTAAAAAAAGTCGATAGAAAACACAGCCTGAACGATACGAAAAAAACGAAGAAAATTTTATTTTTTTCAAGACGTTCCAGAAATTTTTAAAGGGTGACATGAACATATTTGATAGTTTTTTTGTAAAACAACTGCGCATTATATCAAGGGTAACTACCTTCAGCGCACATCTCACAGAAGAAGGATTGGTAAAAGACAAAGTAGCACATACTCGTACTTATCTTTTGCGCGGAGTCTGGTTTTGGGGAGGCATAAACATCCTCACTTCTACTATCAGAAGAGTATGTAGTATAAAGCCCGCCTAGTAATTTGCATAGTTCTACTACAGTCTTCGGTTCAGGGATTTATACTTGATTCTTTGTATTGTTTTTTCTTCTCGCTTTCGCGGCTATAACGGTAGGATGTAGTTATTTGTTTTTTGCTTAAATACACAGTGTCAGCACACACCCAGACATATAAGCAACAGAATTCGAAACCTCGAGGAAGATATAAACTGAGGAGATGCCTAGCATGCGTAACCGGAGGGAAAATCCGCTTTGTGCGGCAGAGGTTGAAGAGAATGAAAATACGCTGGCTAGGTTATGACTGTGGCGGCTGACTTAAAACGGGTGACCTATAAGGTTCTGGGTGTGGAGGGAGGCTTCCCAGTATCGAAAAACCTGAGCTAGTAGTCACATTGCGTGGTTGGCTG